GACGAGCTCCGAGAGGTTCACCATCCCACCGGATCGGATGATGTAGTGAGGCTCAGGGTCCACGTTCACCTGGTTCTGCATGCCGTCCTGCGCACACACACACACACACAATTATGTTGCAGTTAAGGATAATTTGCCATCTAATCTATCGCACAAAAGAGCGATAACACTTAAAGGTCACCTATTATGCAAAATCCACTTCTTCATGTCTCTTCTACATCAACATGTGTCCCCTCTTCTTCATGTCTCTTCTACATCAACATGTGTCCCCTCTTCTTCATGTCTCTTCTACATCAACATGTGTCCCCTCTTCCTCATGTCTCTTCTACATCAACATGTGTCCCCTCTTCTTCATGTCTCTTCTACATCAACATGTGTCCCCTCTTCTTCATGTCTCTTCTACATCAACATGTGTCCCCTCTTCTTCATGTCTCTTCTACATCAACATGTGTCCCCTCTTCTTCATGTCTCTTCTACATCAACATGTGTCCCCTCTTCCTCATGTCTCTTCTACATCAACATGTGTCCCCTCTTCTTCATGTCTCTTCTACATCAACATGTGTCCCCTCTTCTTCATGTCTCTTCTACATCAACATGTGTCCCCTCTTCTTCATGTCTCTTCTACATCAACATGTGTCCCCTCTTCTTCATGTCTCTTCTACATCAACATGTGTCCCCTCTTCTTCATGTCTCTTCTACATCAACATGTGTCCCCTCTTCTTCATGTCTCTTCTACATCAACATGTGTCCCCTCTTCTTCATGTCTCTTCTACATCAACATGTGTCCCCTCTTCTTCATGTCTCTTCTACATCAACATGTGTCCCCTCTTCTTCATGTCTCTTCTACATCAACATGTGTCCCCTCTTCTCCATGTCTCTTCTACATCAACATGTGTCCCCTCTGTGTAAAGAGACTCTGAAAGTTTCAGGAACAAAGATTCTCTCTCTTTTTGTCCTGATCCATTTCTATAAAAACCTGTCTGAAAATGAGCTGATCAGATTTTGGCCACTTTATGATGTCATAACGATGTTTTGTCTTGTGTAACCATTAGCCAATCACCAACCAAGGTAACCCCCCCCCCCCCCCCCCACCTTATCACCTGAATCTCCTCCTAGAGCACCATTGTGTTCTTTTTAACCAAATATCTCTCAGAGGGGCGTGGGGAGGGGCTCCTTATTTTCATCTAAAGTAACAGACAGAGAATCAGTACTTTGGAAACAGGGCTGAAACAGAGGGGATTATGGGTAATGCTGCAATGATCTGTTTGGTGTTTCAGCCAATCAGAGACAGGTTCTGGATATATCTGAGACCTGTGATGTATTGATGAAAAACACTATAATAGGGGACCTTTAATATAAAATCACATGTGACTCGTTATTCAAGAAGGAGGAAGTCTAGTCATTTCTGCACAACATTAAAACAGTAAAGTTGATCGAGATCCTTTAACCTGTGACATCTGACTTATTTTGGCTTTTTAAAGGGAGAGGAAACAAGTAAAGACAACACTAACCCCCCCACTCACTTTATAAGTTGATATGACGACACTGTAAGTCCAAAATGTTTTATTTGTTTCTGTTTTGCTATCCATCAATTCTGATATAAGAGCATGTTGCTAAAACATTTAGGGGCATTGCTTCGACCTAGAACATATCTTTAGATATCTTAAAACCAATACTAGAAAATAAGACCCTACCAATTGTTTCATCTGTCTGAAACTAAGATAAATGGTTTGAAACCAAGGTAAAACGAAAAGCAGAAAATAATTGATATTCTTTAACTGAATCCAATACATTTAGTTTAATGTTATTGGAAATCGTCCGAGCAACAACTCCCTGAAGATTTGAGGAAGTGCTCTCTGCTCCTGAGAGCGAGAAATCAATTCATTGGTGCTTTGCCATCCTCTGTGGAAAAGTCCTTGTGTGGTTAATGGTGGATAAAATATGATGGTCGCATTAGGCTGAGGTTTAAAACGAATAGCTATTCACTGATAATTCATTTTTAGTGTGGCGTTGATGGGCTTTCATCAGACGGAGACATTTCATCTGCACAGTACTGACAGGCAAAGAGAAAGATCATCAGGATTGTATGCATGAGATACAAACATTGTGTCTGGCTTTCTCTTCATAAAACACCCAACAGTTTCGATTTCTGTGTCTGAGCTAAAGTGCTTGACTGCAGCCCTTCAGAGCGCTGACCACAGGGGAGTGTTTCCCACTCATGTCTACAGTGGGTGTTTCTGTTTCATAAACTCCTGTCAGTGCCCTTTGCTTTGCAGCCATCTTGCATGGGTCAACCCGCTGCTTTGCTCGAGGCCTGTCCAGGGAGAGGAGTTATCTAACGCTAAACGACACAACCTCCTACACACCTGAAGACACACACACACACACACACACACACACACACACACACACACACACACACACACACACACACACACACACACACACACACACACACACACACACACACACACACACACACACACACACACACACACACACACACACACACACACACACACACACACACACACACACACACACACACACACACACACACACACACACACACACACACACACACACACACACATTACTTAAAGGTCCCCTATTATACTGTTTTTCATCAATATATCACAGGTCTCAGATATATCCAGAGCCTGTCTCTGATTGGCTGAAACACCAAACAGCATCCCATAATCCCCTCTGTTTCAGCCCTGTTTCCAAAGTGCTGATTCTCTGTCTGTTACTTTAGATGAAAATGAGGAGCCCCTCCCCACGCCCCTCTGAGAGAGATTTGGTTAAAAAGAACACAATGGTGCTCTAGGAGGAGATTCAGGTGATAAGGTGGGGGGGGGGGGGGGTTACCTTGGTTGGTGATTGGCTAATGGTTACACAAGCCAAAACATCGTTATGACATCATAAAGTGTCCAAAATCTGATCAGCTCATTTTCAGACAGGTTTTTATAGAAATGGATCAGGACAAAAAGAGAGAGAATCTTTGTTCCTGAAACTTTCAGAGTCTCTTTCCACAGAGGGGACACATGTTGATGTAGAAGAGACATGAAGAAGAGGGGACACATGTTGATGTAGAAGAGACATGAAGAAGAGGGGACACATGTTGATGTAGAAGAGACATGAAGAAGAGGGGACACATGTTGATGTAGAAGAGACATGAAGAAGAGGGGACACATGTTGATGTAGAAGAGACATGAAGAAGAGGGGACACATGTTGATGTAGAAGAGACATGAAGAAGAGGGGACACATGTTGATGAAGAAGAGACATGAAGAAGAGGGGACACGTGTTGATGTAGAAGAGACATGAAGAAGAGGGGACACATGTTGATGTAGAAGAGACGTGAAGAAGAGGGGACACATGTTGATGTAGAAGAGACATGAAGAAGAGGGGACACATGTTGATGTAGAAGAGACGTGAAGAAGAGGGGACACATGTTGATGTAGAAGAGACATGAAGAAGAGGGGACACATGTTGATGTAGAAGAGACATGAAGAAGAGGGGACACATGTTTATGTAGAAGAGACATGAAGAAGAGGGGACACATGTTGATGTAGAAGAGACATGAAGAAGAGGGGACACATGTTGATGTAGAAGAGACATGAAGAAGAGGGGACACATGTTGATGTAGAAGAGACATGAAGAAGAGGGGACACATGTTTATGTAGAAGAGACATGAAGAAGAGGGGACACATGTTGATGTAGAAGAGACATGAAGAAGAGGGGACACATGTTGATGTAGAAGAGACATGAAGAAGAGGGGACACGTGTTGATGTAGAAGAGACATGAAGAAGAGGGGACACATGTTGATGTAGAAGAGACATGAAGAAGAGGGGACACTGTTGATGTAGAAGAGACATGAAGAAGAGGGGACACGTGTTGATGTAGAAGAGACATGAAGAAGAGGGGACACGTGTTGATGTAGAAGAGACATGAAGAAGTGGATTTTGCATGATAGGCTTTAAAGCTTGGTAGAAGAGCCTTTTTAAATCTCATTCTCCTATCCGGCGTTGTGTGAAATTTGTGTCTAAATGCGGGTAGGAAGTGTTTGCAACATGGCTGTCTGACAGAAAGAGGCTGCACTAACACGGGAACCATAGCAACGCCGGTAAGAGTCAAACTGGACTAGTAGAAAAACATCAAGCGTGTTTTTTTGAAATCACAGGGGGGCAGTGTGCAAACATGTCTACGCCTGCACTTCCTCTTATACTCTTTTTACTTGTTCTCGTTCCTCTGCTCCCCCCATTGCTCTTCTCATCCCCCCCTGTTTCACTCTCCCCCTTAATCTCTGTCCATCTCCCTCCCGGCCTCTCCCACCAGCCCCTCATTTATCCATCTGTCTCCTTGTCCTCCACGCATCCCTCTATCTGTCCATCTCTCCCGCCGTTTCTCCTCCCGTCTTCATTTGTACCTGCCTCGGCTGAAATGTGCTTGGTCATTACCCCCATCCCTTCTGTCCCTTTCATTTTTCTGTCCTTATTTATTCCCCCTACATCGTTTGTCTTCCCGTCCTCACCCTCTCTTTGTCATCATGTCCCTTTTCTCTTTGCTTTCTCTCGTCCCCATCTTCATCCATCCTTGTCTCCATATCCTTCATTTGTCTTTCTATGACTCCTCACATCTCATTGTCTTTTTCTCTGCTCAACTCTGTCTGAGTGTCTGCTTCTCTCTCTCTCTCCCCTCTTCCCCACCCCCTCTGTCTGTCCACCTGTAGCAATATCATCAGCTCAGTGTTGCTGGTATCCATGGCGATGTCGAAGGGCGTCTTGTCGAACTTGCTGAGGCAGTGGACGTCGGCTCCGTACCTCAGCAGCAGCTCGGCCACCTCCCTGTGGCCGCGCTGAGCCGCCCAGTGCAGCGCCGTCATCTTCAGCATGTCTCTGGCGTCCACCTCCGCTCCGTGCTGCAGACACACGGCGCCCCCCGGTGGTGACAACAGGGAGAACACAAAGAAAGAGAAACAAAAGGGAAGTGGTGAGCAAAGATGTGACTATGCAGATATTGTCTGCCGGGTTTGTAAAGTGCAGTAAACACAAGGTTTTGAAACGTTATGAATTTACGGCAGGTTGTGAATAGTACAATCTGAACACAAGTTGCCCCGGTTGTGATGTTGAACAGCCTTCTGTAAGGTTTTAAGAAAGGTGGAAGTGAAAGGAAAGACTGCAGGGTACATGTTGATGTTAAAATGATGGAGAAATGCTGTTTGCACCATCTTTTTGAATTAGACAAGAAGGGTTGTTACAACATTGTCCGAACATCATAACCACATTCAGTAAGAACAACTCACGTAAACGTAAAGATACTACTTTTAGTCATCTTGCATCTCTGTGATTCTTTGCATCTATTTTGAGTCGTTTGGCATCTTTTTGCAGTTCACACACAATTATTTTTCTTACATACTTTTACTTTTAATTGTTATATTTATATACATATTGTTCCTTTATTGTACCTTTTTATTACACAATGTTCTTGTTATGTTTGTATAACACTTTGGATTTATTCTAAAAATATAGAGAGGCGAAGTCCCGCCCATCTACTTCCGACCCATGGGACCTTATTTCGGAAAAATGATGTATTGAAGTCAATGGGGAGAGAAAGATTATCTTTCGATCCCGTTTGAATTGTGCCACAAATTACACATATGATGTTTGTCAATTTAAAATAATAATTTCCATGTCAAAAAAGTCACAGTTTGTCGTAAAACTGTTGAAATATAAGACTATGAAAAATACGCAACTAGAAAGACTACAAATCCCAGAGTCCCAGTCCCGCATGCTGGCTCTTATGAACCGACTAACTCCCCTTGTGTGTATGTACAGCTCTCAACATGCCCAGACTTGGAGTGATTTTCACCTCTTTTAATACTTTCCGCCTCATTCTGAAAGAAAGAAGTGAAATGTGCCAACGTGACGGCCGTCTTGGTGTGTGGTGCGAGACGGGAGATGTAGGTCATTGAGCGGTTTCACGCAAAAAAAAGTGTTACTTCACAGTTTTACGACACATTTTTATTTTTTGACTTGCAAAATTATCTTTTAAATTAACAAACATCATATGTGGAGAGTGGCACAATTCAAACGGGATCGAAAGATAATCTTTCTCTATCCATTGATTCAATACATACTTTTTCCTAATTAAGGTCCCATGGAGGTCCCCCGGAAAGGGAGGGACTTCGCCTCTCTATAGCAACTGTCACAAAACCCAATTTGAACCTGTGACATATAAAGTATTCTGAGTCTGATTGATTATTCGGATTAAAAACAGTGTCTCTGAAGTCCCTGAAACACACGTCAAGCTTCAAATATTTCTGTAAGTTTAAGGTAATCTGTGACCAATTTACTCTCATATCGTACACTGTCTATCCAAAAGTATTTGTGTGAATGTCCATTTGTGTTTTTCATAGTTTCGGATAGAGCGCTTCGGACAAACTTAATGCTAACAGGTCCAATCATATCTCAGATCAGTGTGCTCTCAAATGTTATAGTGGTGGGCCTTCAAATGCTTCTATGGCTTTATACTGAGCAGCAAATCCAAACAGCCAGGTCACCTTGACTTTGAAATGGGGGGAAATGTACAGGGAACTAACCCAATTTGTTTGGTTCAATCGTATCCATCCTCTCCCCTCTTGCTATTTAGTTTAGGGAATATTATAGATCCAAGATGAAACTGCTAGAAGGGCAGGACTCATAGGAAAATATAGAATTAGAAATCCGTCTGCTACTTCAGCACCACGGACAGCGCCATGGATTTCTCCCAGTTCCCTCTACTGCATATTACATTACATTATATGTTACTTGTTAGACGCTTTTATCCAAAGCGACTTACATATTCAATACTGTGGACAATCCCCACAGGAGCAATCTGGGGTGAAGTGTCTCAGGGACACAACGACATGCTGACTGCACGCCTCCCAGGGGGGGATGTTCCAGTGTCCGTATACTTTAGACCGTGAAGTACACAAATTCCTTTTTAGGCCTGTCTCGTTAACTATAACTTTGATGTTGACAACATGTAAAACAATAAGATAATAAGATCATTTCATCCAAATATAAGCATGATGTCAACAGATGCCTCTCCTAGTTTCTTAGTTAACATTAAAGGTCCCATGTCATGCTTTTCTGGTTATCACCCGTCCCCTTGTGTGTTATGTAGCTTTTTCTGCATGTAAACGGTCTGCAGAGTCACAAACCCTCAAAGTACACCCTGTCGCGAGTAAATCTCTAACACAGAAAAGACCTGTCTATGCTGCCCCAGCACGCCTCGTTGGAGATTTTTCATTGTTTTCTTCCTGGGTACAGTGACGTGCCCATACCCAAATGGACCAATTGGTAAAAATGGACCAATTCGCGGAGCCGTTATGTTACGTCCGCGGAGCCGTTACGTCACACACACACACTCAATCTTTTCTCAGCTGAAGCTCCGCGGATTTCTCACCCTGAAATGGCGGGACGCGGCGAGGCTGTGAGTGTGTGTGTGTGTGCTCGGACTGGTTTCGGGCTGGGTTTCGCTGTGTCTCGCCGACCACACGCAGCAACCAGGAAACCACACCAGTAATCCAGCTCACACTGTCCGCTCCTCGCAGCAGCGAGCCCCGCAACGTCCCGCCAACACGGCACCCAGACCCCACGCAGCATTCTCATCTGTTTGTCATTACTGGTGTCATGTTCTGGTTGCTAACGCCATTGTAAAACATAATCACTGATGTTCCGCTGTAACGGTGGTGGACTCATTAGAACAGAGTGGGGGAGCTGACCAATCAGAGCACAGTGGGCTCATAGGGAGGGGGGGGGGCAGGAGCTCCAACAAGCCGCTTAGGACAGAGAGTGAATACACATACTATACAGAGATGCTGTATGAGAAACCAATGTGAGTTTGGAACATTCAACAATGTAAATCCATTCTAGTAGACCTCAACAATGGAATTATGATCAGTAGAAATGGCCATGTCATGGGACCTTTAAGCTGGCTCTTTTCTGCTGTAACAAATGTACATTTCCCCTCTGTGGTACGAATAAAGGTATTCTGATTCTGTTTCCTCACCTGCACTAACAGGTCCACAATGTTGTAGTGACCCTCTGAGGCAGCTATGTGCAGCGGGGTCTTGTCCACCTTGGTGCGGGCGTCCCTGCTGACCCCGGCCCGCAGCAGCACCTCGGCCGTGGACTGATGACCGTATTTAGCCGCCAGATGCAGCGGGGAAGAGCCCAGCTGGAAGAAAAAGAGGGAACAAGATGTGAAGAAGCAGCTGGAGGTGAGGTGAGGTGAGGTGAGGTGAGGTATGGTATGGTATGGTATGGTATGGTAAGGTAAGGTAAGGTACGTAAGGTATGGTATGGTAAGGTATGGTAAGGTAAGGTAAGGTAAGGTAAGGTATGGTAAGGTATGGTAAGGTAAGGTAAGGTAAGGTACGTAAGGTATGGCATGGTAAGGTAAGGTAAGGTAAGGTAAGGTATGGTAAGGTATGGTATGGTAAGGTAAGGTACTGTAAGGTAAGGTACGGTAAGGTACGGTAAGGTACGGTAAGGTAAGGTACGGTATGGTAAGGTACGATACGGTACGGTAAGGTAAGGTATGGTATGGTATGGTAAGGTACGGTATGGTAAGGTAAGGTACTGTAAGGTAAGGTACGGTAAGGTACGGTAAGTTACGGTAAGGTAAGGTACGGTATGGTAAGGTATGGTAAGGTACGGTAAGGTACGATACGGTACGGTAAGGTACGGTATGGTACGGTAAGGTACGGTAAGGTACGGTAAGGTACGGTATGGTAAGGTAAGGTACGGTAAGGTAAGGTATGGTATGGTATGGTAAGGTACGGTAAGGTAAGGTACGGTAAGGTAAGGTATGGTATGGTAAGGTACGGTACGGTAAGGTATGGTATGGTATGGTATGGTAAGGTAAGGTAAGGTACGGTAAGGTACGGTAAGGTACGTTTATTTATATAAACTCCAGTTGGACTCAGATGTCACACTTTTCCTTGCTCATGTGATGTTTTGGTGTTGATGTGTTTTTGTTTTGTTTCTTTCCGTTAACTGTCAAGTGGGAACTACGTTTTTTATTTTTTGTGTTTCTATTATTTTCCTACAATACTGTTATGATTGGCTGTGAATAAGAAAATATGAAGGACAGACCATCTATTTCTATTTATCTTTTGTTTGAGAAAGGAGCGGGTCATATAAGATTATTTTCTTCTCCCTGCTCCTTTTCGGGTATGGTGTGTTTACAGAGACATGTTTTGTTTATAATTGTTATACATTAAGTTTACATAAGCATACCATGGACGGAACTAAGAAAAATGAAATGAAATATAGCACATTTTCAGACACAGAGGCAATTCAAAGTGCATCATCAACACTTAATGAGAAGACAATAAAGAAACACAATGGAATAACAGATTCATCAAAAACATGCAAAAAAGAGATACAGAATAGTTTAAAAACAACATTCAGTGTTTCCCACAGAATTTGATTCTATTTGTGGGGGCACCGCAACGCACCCCCCCGGCAAGAAGAGCCAAAGGCCCCTTAACCTATTCGGGTGCGCCATCTCATGTTTAAATCCTGTAATTGAACAAATGGGGCAATTTGGCAACGCCCTCTAGCAATTTGGCAACGCCCCCAGCCACTGGGATCCGCTGGGTTTTTGGTTGGGACACACCCATTGGAGTCCTATCTGGAGTGCTACATCTGTACATGAACTTCATTTGGTGTATATTGGTGGATACACAAACACAGAAAGATGAATTAGGTTGTAAAAAAAAAAGGTGATTTATTCATTTTTAAAGAAATATCAATAAAAGAAAAAGTGAGCACAATAAGATCATGACAATTTACTCTGAGAATACAAATATGAGCGCTATATCAGGATTTGAAGCGGAAGAGCTGTGCCGTTATAAAACAGGAAGCGATTGAACAGAAATTTGCTGAATGGGCATTTACGGTATGGATAATGAGGAATGGCTTGCATGGGCATTAATGTAAAGCTTAGTGTCTGTGGAGGGGTTTATAGTCTGTGTCAGTGGGGGTCCTGGGGATGAGGCGAGTAGCTGACTCGAGGAAAACCGTCTTTATGGCACAACAGCCATAATATAAATATGTATTTACACATTCTGAGTTAAGCTCAGAATTATTACCCAAATCTAAATCAAATATGAGACAGAACACAGTCATGTACAGACTCAGAGCCATGGTCAGCTGGAACTCTTTACCCGTCCATATCATTCATGTAAATTGTCATGTACAATTCAAAAGGTTGCAAAAATATTATCTCAGTATTACAAAGTATAACTGAACTGTGCCAGTGGCTATGTATGTATTATTATTATTATGTACAATTATTTGTATTTTTTTGTTTGGCCTTATGATGGCTAAAATTGGATGACCATTTTAGTTTTCACTTCATCTAGCACTTGCATGAAATGATGAGCTGTTTTGTTTTATGCATGTTTGACAGTGTGTGTGAGGACCCCAGGAAGAATAGCCAATGCTCATGCAAAAGATAATCCTCAGCAATAATTTGGAGAAAACAGGTTGCAATGTACTGTACAAACAATACATTCATTTATCCTTCATTTTGCAGACAATTTTATCCAAAGCAACTTACAATAAGTGCAATCACCCAGTAAACAACCTGCTGAGGTGCAGTCGTACTAGGGCTGTACGATATATCGTCTCGTGACGATAATCGTGATATGCGCATGCGCGATAGTCAGGACGTGACTTTTTTCTTTTTAAGACGTGCGATATTAAGTAGGCAAATGAACTCTAACACGTCATGTTACAATTCTTTTGCTGCTTGCTACAAAAGGAAAACTTGCGTGGCTCTCATGTCAGGGGTACTTGAGTGAGTGACAGCAAACCACCAATCACAATCAAATCTCCAAAGCAAACGGACCCGGTGATTAAAGGTAAAAACACTGAATAAAGTAGTTTCATGTGTTTCTCAAAGGCAGTTCGGAGCTGCTAACCGAGCTAGCTCAGCTTGTTGCTCTGATAACTTAAGATCCAGACGTCCGTGACTAAAATCCTTCATCCGGTTAAATATAGTTAAAACAAATACCAATTGTATAGCATTAAAGTTCAAGAAAGGATGGTTTGCGGACAAAAAAAACGGTCTTTTCTTCAATTCCTGTATTTTTTCATATCGCAGGGGGATTTTTTTTCGCAATGTCAGTTTTTTCCAATATCGTGCAGCCCTACAGAGTGTGTTTGTGAATCTGCCCTCTGTCTGCAGTTGTGTGCACACATCACGTTAGGCCGTGACGATGCTTCTCACATCCTTATTCTCAAACCTCCAGGGTCAGAGAGAGAGACCTCCCCAAAACGCCTCGTTGGAGATTTCTCATGTTCTTCCTGGGCATCGTGACGTCTGGATACCCAGTAGCCACGCCCAGAGCTATGACGCGATACGGTCATGCGGTACCCGGAACCAAATGGACCAATCCGTGGAGCCGTTACGTTACGTCCGCGGAGCCGTTACGTTAAGCCCCTGCTGATTGGTCCAAATTGACCAATCCACGGACTTCCTCACACACTCAGTGCAGGCAGCTCAGCTGATTTCTCCTCCCTGGCTGCAGGCTGATAACAGACAGTTGGGATCGCGTCAAAATTCTCTCTGCAGACCCATTCTCACAGCGTTTATCAACCTTTTTCTTACTCAATATCAAGCCACACTTATTGTTTTTACTTCGGCTGTGAGTTTGTGTGTGCTCAGGATGAGTTTGGCTGTGTTTCGCTATGTATCCTAAACAAGGAAACAACACCTCCACGGAGCTCAGCGTGATTCACAACGTCCCGACCAATCAGAGCACACTGTGCTCACAGGGAGGGTGGGGGCTGGAGCTATTGGAGCTCCAACGAGCCGTTAAAGGCAGAGAGTGAAATTCAGTGAATACACGTAGTTTACAGAGATGCTGTATGAGAAACCAATGTGAGTTTGGAAAAATGCACAATATAAATCAATTCTAGTAGACCTCAACAATGGAATTATGATCAGTGGAAATGGCCATGACATGGGCCCTTTAATACTTTTTACTTTTTAATAGCCTTCATTTTCGCTAAATTTATTTATGAACTTTTAATACTTTTTAAGACCCCGCGGACACCCTGATATGACAATAATACCTTTGAATCTTGTGTTGTTGAATGAACAGCCTTCTGTAAGGTTTTAAGAAACGTGGAAATGGACAAGTGAAAGAAAAGACTGCAGTGTAAATATTGTTGTTAAAATGATGGAGACATGCCGTTCACTGCACCACCTTTTAGAATTATACAGGGAGGGGTTGTACAAGGGTAGGGGGTGGCGAGGATCTGCCATCATGAACGGATTATGAGACCCCTGTAACTAACTCACCTAAACTTAAAGATACTACTTTTAGTCATCTTGCATCTCTGTGATTCTTTGCATCTATTTTTAGTAGTTAGGCATCTTTTTGTGTTGTTTTTGCACCTTCCGTTTACTGGCAGATGTGGGACGTCCTGAGATCTAAATGTTGGACAGTGTGGACAGGAACATGACGCCAGAGTGCTGAGAGTATCACACCTCTGGGTTTGGGCCAGCACCAGTGATGCTCTCTCTCTGGCAGAGTGAGAAACATCTGGAGAACCGGTGTAGGTTAGTTCACTTTTTGTAGTTCTGCCTACTCACCGCAGTACTGGCTGTTTTGGGTTATAAACTGAACAATGTACACACAAGTCGCCCCTGTTGTGAATTACACACAGAGGGATTGTACATGAGTGGGGAGGATGTGCGACCTGCCACCATGAACGGATTATAAAACAAATATAATCTAAGACAGAATAAGGAGACCCCCCACTTTGACTTCACAAATAAGAACAAGACACCCAAACTCAAAGATATTCAAAGAGTACCTATAGGGCGGTGGTGGCGAAGTCGAGTTCAAGTCCCGACAAGACCAAGTGCTACCGAGGTGTCCCTGAGCAAGGCACCGTTCCCTACAATGCTTCCCAGGCAGATGGGGCTCGTAGCCATGGAAGGCAACCCATCTAGGAGAAGGACACTCTGAACTAAAAACCAGGACTGAGAGGAGTTGCGCCCCCCAGTCCTTAATCAGCATAGTAAAGCCAACCATGGAGAACAAAGTCATCCCAAAAATCCTATACGGAGAACCGGGATGACTGGAAGCGACGATGGAGGGCTCGTCTGAGGACGACCTCATTTTGAGTCTTTTTGCACTATTTACGTTCTTTTTGCATTTATTTTGCGGTGACCTTTAATGTTGTTTTGTGTCTCGACTTTTAGTTGTTTAACTATTTTTAAACATCTCCCACTTCCTGTGATAATGCTGTGGTTGTAGTATTCATTTTCCAGCTCGGTGATTGTTTAGCATCTATTATTAATATGATTTGAAGTTACTTTGAGTCTCTGCAGTAATTCAGTATCTGTCTTCAGTTGATACTTTTTGTTGTCTTTTGTCTATTTGAGTGTCTATTCTTTAAATTGACTTGAATCGAATTGAATGTTTCTTTGTTTAAAAAAAGAAAGAAAAGATGGGTTGTAAACTCAATATGTTACCTTAGTTTTGACATTTGAAGATAGTATGTAGTTCATTCAAAAAACTAAATAGGTCCCAAATACTCTATACATAAGTGTGTTTGATATGAATAACAGTTGGACGACTAATGTGATAGACACCTTGACAATAATATCCATTTGATAATAAATGTTTCTCAGGGTACACGAAGAGAGAGTAATTCACTACAAACTAATAAAGAGTAATTATTTTAACGTGTTGTCTTCAATCGCAAAACCTGTGTGCAGTTAGGAGGTTTAATAGCGTGTTAAATGAAACACACTAATTGTCATAGCTGTTGTGAAGGTGCAGGTTCAAAAGAAAGTGCCCGTCTCAGCAAACGAAAGGCTGAGACAGACATTAACATGCAGCGCTCATCACAGCACACAAAAGAGGTGTATTTACAACTGCTTACACAAAGTGCCTACATTAGGAGCGGGGAAGGGGAGATGTGATGCATCGTAAACAGTTAGGAATGGCCGTTAGCCCGGACGTGTACATGATTTGTGAGAGGATGACTGGCGCTGGCCCAGAACACCGTACATCAAGTCGTAGCATAGGAATGTTTTACCGTCGGCGACACTTAGCTGTATGCATTAGCTGTACTGAGACCTCATTAGCAATCAGTAGGCCATTACTACCTGGGAACTCACACTAACATAGCCAGCCAGCCAGCCAGCCAGCCAGCCAGCCAGCCAGCCAGCCAGCCAGCCCCCCCCCCCCCTCCTCAAGGCACATTTACAGGAAGTCACAACAGAAATGAAACCAGCCAGCCCCTGTTTAACCTGAAAATGTGTCCCTTGTACGGGAAATACTCACTTCAAACCACGATAGCTGTTTTCTTACATACGCATTAGCAATCAGTGGGCCATTACCACCTGGGAACTCACACTAACATAGCCCCCCCCCCCTCCTCCTACTACTTAAGGCACATTTACAGGAAGTGACAACAGAAATGAAACGACCAAGCCCCCCCCCCTTTAGGCAAGATATTGGAGATGTGTCCTTGTACGGGAAATGCTCCCTTCATGCCTCGATAGCTGTGTTTACAATCACATGATAGCCGGCCCGCTTACCAATCAGAGCAGACATTTATTTAACACAACACCTACAGTCTTTTTGTTAATGATCTGTAGTATAAACGCAATTCTGGATAACTCAACTGATTCCTTTTAAGTCGTTTGCTCAGACTTAGTAGAGCACAAATGACGCTTTCACAACCTGAGTCATTAGAATAGAGTATGAACATTATTCATAGGTAGACACACTAAGAGCAGTAAATATTGAATATAGTAGTAGTAGAAATATAAACAGTATCATAGACACTAGACAATAGTAGAAATATGAATACACTATAGACTAGTGTGGACACTTTGTAAGAGTAAATGTGACACATGTGCACACTGCACAGTCATACTCCTCATGATGTGACATGACTTCAGCAAGTAAAGAAATAAGTGGTTAAAAAAGTGATAAAGACACCCATTCAATAAATCTCCTTGTCTGCTCGAATGCAGTGCTCATGACAGGTCAGATTAACTGTGAACACAAACTGCCAACTAAGAAAAACGTATCACATGATTTTACACTTAAAGTAGGAGTTTGTCAAAGGCTTGAAGGTCCCGCTGTGCATCGCCTCAGACAGCTAATCCACCACCGCTGAAACTCCAGCGTAATAGAAATCTCAATGAACATCTGTTATGTTCACACATCAGATTGACTTAGTAAAATAGTGTGACAAATCTGCTTCATTTTATTTATGGGTGATTTTATATGCATACATATAAATTATGTATGATGTTGTCATTCTAAAACATTAAATAAGCGAAAGCGCCCCTTCTTCTACTAATTTTAAAATGAAGACAGCATGTGAGCTATCATAAATCCACTGAATAACTTGTCCTAACACTCTTCAATGTGCATTTTGTAAAATGTGTCACAGATAAATGACACCCTTAAATATGTTAATGTTTGGTCGCGTTATGGAACACAACATTCCATAAAACGGCATTAGTGATGTACCCATTGCATGCGAGCAGTTTATTATAAAATGACATTTGATATACTGTATAGATGGGATCATAAAAGTCAGAAGAAGTGCCTGTGGTGTTTTGAAATATTAAAAAGTTTTAGAAAATTGAGAATATGTTCTGAAATGTTGTACCCTAAAGAGTGAATAGACTAATCGAGAAAATAATCGACGGATTAATAATTAATCAGTTAGCTTCGGCCCTGAGAAATAGTACCATAGGTTTCACAGGCATGAAGCGAGTTGTTCTGTTTGTTTAAAGGGGACCTATTATGCAAAATCCACTTTTCCATGTCTTTTCTACATCAACATGTGTCCCCTCTTCTTCATGTCTCTTCTACATCAACATGTGTCCCCTCTTCTTCATGTCTCTTCTACATCAACATGTGTCCCCTCTTCTTCATGTCTCTTCTACATCAACATGTGTCCCCTCTTCTTCATGTCTCTTCTACATCAACATGTGTCCCCTCTTCTTCATGTCTCTTCTACATCAACATGTGTCCCCTCTTCTTCATGTCTCTTCTACATCAACATGTGTCCCCTCTGTGTTAAAGAGATTCTGAAAGTTTCAGGAAAAAAGATTCTCTCTCTTTTTGTCCTGATCCATTTATATACAAACCTGTCTGAAAATGAGCTGATCAGATTTTGGCCACTTTGTGATGTCATAACGATTTTTTGGCTTGTGTAACCATTAGCCAATCACCAACCAAGGTAAGCCCCCCCCCCACCTTATCACCTGCATCTCCTCCTAAAGCACCATTGTGTTCTTTGTAACCAAATCTCTCTCAGAGGGGCGTGGGGAGGGGCTCCTTATTTTCATCTAAAGTAACAGACAGAGAATCAGCACTTTTGAAACAGGGCTGAAACAGAGGGGATTATGGGATGCTGCAATGATCTGTTTGGTGTTTCAGCCAATCAGAGACAGGTTCTGTATATATCTGAGACCTGGAATATATTGATGAAAAACAGTATAATAGGAGACCTTTAAAGTGTGCACTTATGGCCTTGTTATTTAGATTGAACCATTTGACAGAAACCCAGTACAAACCTGCAACTTAGGTTGTTTTTTCTTTTTTTTAAACAGAGAAAGGCAAAGATTGTATGTGATAAACAGTTTACTTTAAAGATAGAAATCTAAGACTAGCTGAGTGTTATTATTTCCTTTACCATACATTTTTCTTGACTTTCCCAGTCTTTTGAGCTCAAGCCTCAACTGTCGTTCTGACACTGTGTGGTGACAAAACGACATTAGGAGCTGAGTATCTGTTTTTTTTCTGGCAGATGATGAGGTTTGACACTCATCTCATAACGGATTAGCTTGAAGATTATTCCATAATTAACGTATATCAGCCTCACCCAGTCTGTGGTGAATGGAGCTCCATTGGCCATCAGAGCTTTAACATCATCATCCTGTCCGCCTCTCACCGCCTCCAGCAGCTGCTGCCCGAGACCCACCAGCGACATCTGCTGACAGCCAGAGAGAAACACAGATCAGGCAGGAAGAAATGTGTGTTTATAGCACATAATGACATAACTGTTCTTTATGTGTTTTGTTTCCATTGTTGGAAATTAAAAATATACGGGCTATCTATCTATCTACCTACCTATCTATCTATTTATCTACCTATCTATCTATCTATCTATCTATCTACCTACCTACCTACCTACCTACCTATCTATCTATCTATCTACCTACCTACCTACCTACCTATCTATCTATCTATCTATCTATCTACCTACCTACCTATCTATCTACCTACCTACCTACCTATCTACCTATCTATCTACCTACCTATCTATCTATCTATCCATCTATCTATCTATCTATCTATCTATCTTAACTTCAGAAATGTTCAATATCTTCCTGGAGTTCAATGGTGAACAATTTCGTAGTGCTAAGATGTTATGCAGAAACAATAATATAATATAATAATATAGGTAATTTAAAGCATAAATGCAAATGTGAAAGATATTTTTAGTTTTTGACCGTTGGAAGACTTATTTGTAATTTAAAAAAATACCTCACTGTACTTAATCCCTCTATTTTATTATCTACTCTATTGCCTTTTTATCAATATATATTTAGGCTTTTAGCTATCATACATTGTTGTTTTTGTTAACTATTTTGTTTGCATGCATTGACATATAGGCATAATTGTAAATACCTCCTTACTGGGTCTTTTCGAGGTGAGATAAATAGATATATGAACACATGTATTTAAATATACTTCGCTAGGTCCCACCATTGCAATCATGTTTCACTGTTGTTAGTGTTGTTAGTGTGTAATGGCAGTGGTAGTAAACAAGGGGAAAGTGTATGCAATTACCTTTTAACAGAGGTGGGTGAAGTACTCAGATTATTTACTTAAATAAAAGTAATAATACTACTGAAGAACCAAAAGTTAAATTGTGTTATTTAGAATGGCCATTTTAAGCACAATAACTTATTTTATTAAATGTATTATTATCATTGGTGCATTAATGTGTTCATCGCTTCAATGTTGCACTAAGGCAAAGGTGGGGTTTATATGAATTACTTTACACATTACTGGGTTAATAATATAACGTTTGTCGATTCAATATTTTGCATTAATAACCTAAATCTGCAAAGTCACTAGTAACTAAATGTAGTGAGTAAAAGTATTAAGTAGCATAGGCCTAATAAGTATCACCATTTTGTACTTGAGTAAATGTTACATCACACCACTACCTTGTAAATGCTCATACATGCATTTTAAACAACTCGTATGAAAATGTTTAACGTTATAACTTTATGACACAGAAATCAAAAGCTTGACTCCGCACCACACGCTTTATAGTAATAATGTGGACAAGCTAAAACAATGCGAATCAATAGGCTCAGTTGATAAAACAAAGACATACACGAACGGACATTAAACAATATAAAAATACAGTTTGACACCCAGTTAAGTGATGTTTGTTCCGGGGGAAGTTGATGCTAGCATTAAGAGCTATTTCCACATCCGCTAGTCAACACTACATAGGAAGAAGGTAAACTCTGCTCCGATATTTAATAATTTATAATAATGTTATTATAGACCCTGAAGCCTGAACATCTTATACAGACGTATACATCTTATCAACTCTGAACAGACAAGAGAAAGCTAACGGTTAACTAGCTAACGTGAAAGTAACGTTACTGTTTATCAGTTAGCTCTCATAACAATGTTGTGTTTACCTTATGTATCATTAATACTCGGTATACTTGCCTTACAATGAAGTAGTCTCAAAGGTATATTTAAAACGCGGATTTCTGGTATACGTAAGCTGATTGTTACACTTTGGTTATTTCTTCGCAAAACCCAAATATAATTTGTTTTTTATTATTTGTAGCTCAAAAATGGCGGCTACATGACGCGAGGTAGAGGGAAACGGTCGTGTTCCGGTTTAACTTTTCAAAATAAAACAAGCACGTATTTTTGATAACAGTTTATGGCGGTGTGCGGTGATGCCACATGTAATCATTTTATTAATTGAAAAGTTTGATTTGGCATCGTTTAAACCCCGTCAATAGAATACAATTTAATAAAACGATAAGATGTAATGTACGCTCATGATTTACTTTCCAAGAATAACCTTTATTTTGAAGGTTAAATCCGGTTACAGTTTGCTGTAAGAAGAGTGGCGGTTCTGAAAGCTACAGTCAACTCTTCAAACATCAAGGAGATGGTAAACTATCCCAGATATTTAATATTGTATAATAATGTATTTATAGACCATGAAGCCTGAACAACGAAAGACGTATACATCATATTAACTCTGAACAGACAATACAAAGCTAACGGATAACTTGCTAACGTTAAAAGTAACTGTTCAGTGTTTTTAATTTACCATTAAAGGGCCCACGTCATGGCCATTTCCACATTTTCCACTTAAAACTGCACATAGCAACACTGCACAGCAATCTACTGTCATTCAAACGATATGGAAGTGGACTTCTTATTTTTTTGTTTGAGTTTTTGCCAAGATATTTAAATATGTTTTATATGATTAATAAACAAACACGAAAAAAGTTTTTTCTTTCTTGTCTTATATCCAGGGTAACATACACGTTTGATGGAGATTTTGTGAAACTGATACGAGAGTTTAATTGAGACAGTATCCTACACCCTAAACACCACACAGTTCTCTTTTCATGTTAAGAGCAGAAAAGCTTTGGTCACATTCAGTAACAACTATTACCAGGGTTTCACTGTGTGGCGATTCATTATTCCATAACCAAGTTGTATTCCTTATGTTGCTGTGATATCTATTAAAGTTAAGATTGGATAAACTTAAACCATACAGGCTACCAATAAGACTCATCTGTTCTTGTAGAAACTATTCAGGATTTTGTAAAAAGTGTATCCATACTTTTAGAAAAAACTAAGTCGCTATTACGGTTTTGGCATCTTCTTAAATAATGTGTGTAAATACAAAATATAGGCAACATAGCTTTACAATGGGTTCACCATGCAAAGACTAAAGGATTTGTTTAAGCAATTGTAATTTTCAAGATCCGGCAAACTGCCAAAATATTTTCTTGTCATATTTAGTCTTAGAGCTACTGTTTTGTTTCCTAAAAAATAATGATAGGACATGGCTTTATCCCACTTATTTGGTATCTATGAATTACATATTGAATATTCTGTCATGTAGTAAACATTAGAAGGAAGCCTTTTTTAAATTAAAAACCTACTTAAAATAAGTGTTTTTTGTGTGATCTAAACATTTCAACAGTAATTATACTTGCGCAAAGTACGTCTCAACCAGATTTTAAGACTTGAAACCATTCGGGGTAAATGTGGCATTTTTCTCATCATGCTAGTATATTTTTCTCTTTTCATACTATCAAACTAGAGCATTAAAAATGTAAAAATAAGAAGGAAATCAAAACCAATTGTGTATTTGATAAATATTATTACTTGAAATGGTACCCTTTTGTTTTTAATCACTACTATCACTTTATTTCTTTGTATATATATATATATATATATATATATATATATGTATTTATTTATTTACTCTGTCTGTGTGTACCTGTGTTCGCCTGATGTCAATGTTTTGTGTGGACATAATGTTGGATATACACATCTTTAAAAAAAAAAAAGAGTAATACGCAGCAACGACTACATTTACCATAAACCAGTGCGGCACTTAAAATGAGCTTACGTCACGTGCACTTCCAACTTCCGGCTGAAGTGGAAATTGATACATGACACAGTTGTTTGGAGGAAAGCTTGTTTTCTTTGGGAAAAACGTTAACGTCCACGGAACTACCGACGTGGTTTTGACATCTTAACGGCCGATCGTCCCGTGTAGACTGGGCCGCGATGGAGGCGGTTCCCCGGATGCCGATGATCTGGCTGGATCTGAAGGAGGCTGGGGACTTCCAGTTCAGTCCGTCCGTCAGGCAGGTGAGCTGGCTGGGTGTGGAGCAACAGGGCTGAGGGCGAAAGTCAGCCGAACAGGGATTAAGGACGCCTGGATAACCCAACAAAGAAGCTAACATTAGCCGTTAAAACAGTTGGCTGTCTCTGGCTGTCGCGTGTAGGTAAACATTCTGATAGCTGTTAGCTGCACAGCTAGCATAAGTCAGATTCTGGCAAATCTCCCTGACCACCGCCTTTTGTTTGCTAACATTAGCTTCATGCTAGCTAGATAATAATAATAATAACACATTATATTTATATAGCGCTTCTCCAGGTGCTCCAAGCCGCTTTACAGATTACATTACATTACATGACATGTTACTTATTAGACGCTTTTATCCAAAGCCACTTACATGCACTGAATACTGTGGACAATACCCACAGGAGCAAATCTAGACAGATAGATACTTTATTCAGCCCATATTGGGAAAGTATTTTGTAACAGCAGCAATGTGTTTAGGCATTACAATTATTAAAAGGTGGGTAAAAGTATAAACATAATAAAATAAAAACAATAAGCAGCACGTATATATACAGTAGAAAAGACATGAACCACAAAGAATACTACATTTCTAGATAATTTAAACTGTTCTATAAAAGGCCAATATACTACACAGCAACAGAAATATAGACTTATCATATGTATATATTATAGTAGCAAAACATATACATATGATAGCTAAAGCTCCCTCAACTGAAGTGGCTCAATACTTGTAATTAAACACATTTAAGATGTGAAAGGTAGGGAAACAAACAGCTAAAGTAAGGAAACTGGCCCAGTCACACGGTCTGCTTTCATGGAAAATAATAAAGAGTGATCTCACTGTCACATGCACCTGACCGAAGCAGGTTCGTCAGAAATGTAGGATCCCTGCCAAAACAGGAACACTCATGGAACAAAAAGGCAGTCTAATAAAAATAATAAAAAAATAAGTCACCAATTTGCATATGTGACAATATCCTTCTGACCCAAATGAATAGTTAACAGGTTTCATGTTGTACAGTCGAACAGGTAACAAGGGAAACAACCAGATAAAGTGCAAACTGAATATGATGAGATATCCAATATGTATCAAATCAAATCAAATCAAAATGTATTATAGCCCCAAATCACAAGAAATGCCTCAAAGGGATTTGTTCAGGGATTTCAAATCTATCCTTGGGAAAAAAAATGTTGTTTTGTGTTTGCTTAAATCAGAAGTCTATTGATATAATGCCTCTTGTTACATATGTTGGCATATTATAAAATCTTTGTTTTCATACTGTAATGGCATTACAACCTGATGTTTGGTCAGGGGATATTTTCATGTCAGATAAAAAAATAGTTTGACTAAATATTCAACCCAAAAATGCACAAATAATGCCTTTTACACATGCTTTTGAGGCTTGCTGATTTCTACGGTTGTTCACGGCCACATGTGTGATATCTACACGAAAGAAGATGCCGATCATTAAAATGTTCCCCTCTCCTTCATCTAGTGACCCATATTCCAGAACATTCCTGGTGCAGATGGTCCTTGTGTTAACTCTGGATATTTTGCAATAGACTGCCCACATTAACACATTCATGAAACAATGCTGCTTGTCTTATACATACAAAAATATATGTTAGTGTTTAATTTAAAAATGTATTTAAGTAACTTTAACCTAAATATGAAATACTGAAATTAGTATTTAGTTTTCTATTTCATTTTAAATACTGGAAGTCAAGGTAAACTATAATATATCAGGTTAATGTTGCATTCCTTATAGGCGAACTGGTCATATTCTTAATTAAACTATATATAAATTACCTACAATTTGTTCTGTTAACCCCGACCAGATGCAGAATGATACACATTTGTCTTGTGGATGTCAGGAGGACAATGCCTGTCTGTCTCGTTGCTGTATCATTGTTAATTTTTCCAGTATGCTTTTGACTCTCCTGCTTCCACGATTTCCTTATAAACAGAAACAGAAGCACTAGTAAAACCACGATTGTCTCGCATTGTTCACCTCCTGACCTGACATATCCTGCTTGTTTATTACAGTGGCTCATGGAGACAGGGAAAGGGTTTACGATACGATACGATAATACTTTATTGGTCAGATCAAGTCTGAAATGTGACTTGCATCACAGCAGCTCCATGTGTAACTTCAACATGGACAAATAGAGTGCCACAGTGACGCGTCCTAAAACCCGGAAGTAAGTTAGCATTTTACCACTTCCGGTTCCTTCGACAAAAACCAATGCAATTTCTCCATAGGATTCTTGAAAATAGCTCGAAATAAGGTCTTTGGTTGACACGCATTGAAGAGACAGATCACGTTTTGTTCAAGATCTGTCTCTTCAATGTGTGTCAACCACAGACCTTATTTCGAGCTGTTTTCCAAAATCCTATGGAGAAATTGCATTGGTTTTTGTCGAAGGAACCGGAAGGAGTTTACTTCCGGGTTTTAGGACGCGTCACTGTGGCACTCTATCAAGACACAATACATGAAAAACAAACAATAAACATTTAACACAACAGCACAATCACTGATCATTTGCAAAGCATGATGGGACGACTCCAGAGCCTACACGAGATTTAAAACCCTCTGCTGTTGCTCAGGGCCAAAAATTAGCATATTTATGAGTTAGCTACAGTTTAAAGACATTTGAACAAACGTATTTTTTAAACAAAAGTAATTGTATTGTTATAACCAAAACGGGGTAAGCTTGAAAGGAACTAGTTTTGTTTTTTTAAATGTGCCACTTTAAAGAACGTCTGCCTCTTTTCTTCCAGTTCATCTTGAAGAATTATGGAGAGAATCCAGACAACTACAACGAACAGATGAAGAAACTGGAGACACTGCGGCAGGTGGGTACTGTTTTAAAACATCGACACCTTCCTATTGCCCCTTTCAAACTAGATAAGAAACTCACTTACGCTAACATCTGGATTTTGTCTTCAGTGGCAAAAGTTACAATCTGCATTCATCCTGGGGAAAATGTGTCCGCAGTAGTCATGTTTTTTTATTTGTTTCAGCAGTGATTAACACATTACCCAGGGAAATTATAATTTCTTAAACTTTTTTCAGCTTGATGCGATGACACGCGTTTAGTTGAATATCAAATATCATAATTATAAATGCTATTGTGGGGGAAACTTCTGAAGCAATTGGAAACAGGACTCAGAGAGACACGAGGAGAGCTGGAGCTTTGATGGCAAACACTGACGGTTTATTTGGAGTTACGGCCGGAGAATTGACACGACAGGTGGTGTGTCACGAGTTGACACAGCGGTTTCCAAACCAATTCTGAAGAACCCTTTCTGTAGCTCGAGGTTTTAACTAGTTCGGAGTGTAATAATCAACATTCTTTATCAGTGAGACTAAACAAATATGGACCCTGAATCTAACTAGAGCTCTCGTCCATAGGAAAGAATGTGCGCCAGGGAACCTACGTCCCTGAACAGTAAACTACCTCATGGCGGCTTGTGCTCGGTCATAGACTGGCAACAACAATGCGCCCAAGCTGCCCCTCCTTAAGAGAGATAGCAGCAATACCCAAGGCCGTAGAACTATGCCATGGGAAAGGAGACGGTGAGAGGAGAAAATTATGAACTGTGTCGAAGGTTGAATACCTAAGCAAATTATTCCCTAACAGCTATAAGTATCTGATTTAGCTTAAAAAGTGAATAGCATCTCAAAAAACTAAATTGTATAAGACAGTTGGTAGGAACACAAACATAAAACAGTCTCAAGCGTAAGAATGATCAGACCCATGACAATAAGGGGCTTTGTGATGCTGTGATGTCAATATCGACATGACCAAGACATATAGGAACATGACAGAAAGTCTTAACATTTTAATTGGCAGTGTCTGGTTTCTCTTGCTGTGTCTAGTTATTGATTGGGGTTACCTTGGTTGCTGATTGGCTAATGGTTACACAAGCCAAAAAATCGTTATGACATCATAAAGTGTCCAAAATCTGATCAGCTCATTTTCAGACAGGTTTTTATATAAATGGATCAGGACAAAAAGAGAGAGAATCTTTGTTCCTGAAACTTTCAGAGTCTCTTTACACAGAGGGGACACATGTTGATGTAGAAGAGACATGAAGAAGAGGGGACACATGTTGATGTAGAAGAGACATGAAGAAGAGGGGACACGTGTTGATGTAGAAGAGACGTGAAGAAGAGGGGACACATGTTGATGTAGAAGAGACGTGAAGAAGAGGGGACACATGTTGATGTAGAAGAGACGTGAAGAAGAGGGGACACATGTTGATGTAGAAGAGACGTGAAGAAGAGGGGACACGTGTTGATGTAGAAGAGACATGAAGAAGAGGGGACACGTGATGATGTAGAAGAGACATGAAGAAGAGGGGACACATGTTGATGTAGAAGAGACATGAAGAAGAGGGGACACATGTTGATGTAGAAGAGACATGAAGAAGAGGGGACACGTGTTGATGTAGAAGAGACGTGAAGAAGAGGGGACACGTGTTGATGTAGAAGAGACATGAAGAAGAGGGGACACGTGTTGATGTAGAAGAGACATGAAGAAGAGGGGACACGTGTTGATGTAGAAGAGACATGAAGAAGATGGGACACGTGTTGATGTAGAAGAGACATGGAGAAGAGGGGACACATGTTGATGTAGAAGAGACGTGAAGAAGAGGGGACACGTGTTGATGTAGAAGAGACATGGAGAAGAGGGGACACATGTTGATGTAGAAGAGACATGAAGAAGAGGGGACACATGTTGATGTAGAAGAGACGTGAAGAAGAGGGGACACTGGTTGATGTAGAAGAGACATGAAGAAGAGGGGACACCTGTTGATGTAGAAGAGACATGAAGAAGAGGGGACACGTGTTGATGTAGAAGAGACATGAAGAAGAGGGGACACATGTTGATGTAGAAGAGACATGAAGAAGAGGGGACACATGTTGATGTAGAAGAGACATGAAGAAGAGGGGACACATGTTGATGTAGAAGAGACATGAAGAAGAGGGGACACATGTTGATGTAGAAGAGACATGAAGAAGAGGGGACACATGTTGATGTAGAAGAGACATGAAGAAGAGGGGACACATGTTGATGTAGAAGAGACATGAAGAAGAGGGGACACATGTTGATGTAGAAGAAGGACATGTAAGAAGAGGGGACCACATGTTGATGTAGAAGAGGACATGCGAGAAGAGGGGACACATGTTGATGTAGAAGAGACATGAAGAAGAGGGGACACGTGTTGATGTAGAAGAGACATGAAGAAGAGGGGACACATGTTGATGTAGAAGAGACATGGAGAAGAGGGGACACATGTTGATGTAGAGAGACATGGAGAAGAGGGGACACATGTTGATGTAGAAGAGACATGGAGAAGAGGGGACACATGTTGATGTAGAAGAGACATGAAGAAGAGGGGACACATGTTGATGTAGAAGAGACATGGAGAAGAGGGGGAACACATGTTTGATGTAAGAAGAGACATGGAGAAGAGGGGACACATGTTGATGTAGAAGAGACATGAAGAAGAGGGGACACATGTTGATGTAGAAGAGACATGGAGAAGAGGGGACACATGTTGATGTTGAAGAGACATGAAGAAGAAGGGACACATGTTGATGTAGAAGAGACATGAAATGTGGATTTTGCATAATAGGTGACCTTTAAATTAAATATGTTATGATGTACTAAGGCCACAGTGTGCTTGCAGGTGTAGTGATTCTGTCTCTGCAGTGGTTAAGAAGATGATTGAACACAAATGAATCGCAGTATTTGGTTCTGTTTCGCAGAGTGCTGTAAATGTGACGAGGGATTTCGAGGGGTGCAGCACACTGAGGAAGTACTTCGGCCAGCTGCACTACCTTCAGAGCCGAGTGCCCATGGGAACGGGCCAGGAGGCGGCAGTACCCATCTCATGGTAGTAACGCACACACACACACACACACACACACACACACACACACACACACACACACACACACACACACACACACACACACACACACACGGGAGACGTAACGAGTATTTCCACATACTGATCTTGCTGCATTCTGAGCCATTGTTGACATGAACGCTATAAGTCTGAAGCTTTTTTTAGTGTCACAATGATTCACTGCAGTTTGCTCTGTAAAATACTTACTTCTTGAGCACATGATTTATAATAAGACAGTTTACAAGTGTCTCCTTTTAAGCCTTAGGATTTTTCTAAATCATATTAAATATCCATGTGTATACAATCTCCATTCTATTCAAATGGTATACTCGGTAATAATCACTTTTTTTACTTTGTTTGTGGTCAGGACTGAGATCTTCTCTGGAAAAACAGTCACCCACGATGACATCAGCTATGAGCAGGCGTGCATCCTGTATAATCTTGGTGAGTTAATTAATGTACAGCAGTGCTTCTCAAAGTGTGGTCCGCGGACCACTGGTGGTCCGTGAGTGCCCCCTAGTGGTCCGTGAGTATATTGGCAACATTTCACATTTAAAATAAATAAATACATTTAAGTTTTCCGCACTCTCGCGGGAATATCTCCGCAATGGAGCAAGCTTAAGTTTCACTTTCGATTGCATGATATAGCCCAGCGCAACACCTTCGAGACACATGTTGCCACTTGTTTGTACCAGGCGATTTGTAATCTGTTCTAGAAAAACTATGTGTTTTTGGATATTTGTGGAGTTAGGTGTTTTTTTTATTTGTATTGGTTAAGTGGTCCTTGGTATGAAAAAGTTTGAGAAACACTGATGTAGAGTAATTCATATTATTGCCTTTTATTACATGGCTTAGTTGAATACTCGATTCTGTAAAATCTGCTAACCTCACTTAACGTATCTGTTGTATGTCTGTAGGGGCTCTCCACTCCATGTTGGGAGCCATGGATAACAGGGTATCTGAGGAGGTAAGACACGCACGCACGCACGCACGCACAAAGCATACACACAAAGCATACACACACACACGAGCACACACACAAAGCAGACACACACACACACACAAAGCATACACACACACACACACACACAAAGCATACACACACACACACAAGCACACACACAAAGCAGACACACACACACACAAAGCATACACATACACACACACACAAAGCATACACACACACACACACACACAAAGCATACACACACACACACACACACACACACACACACACAGTCCCGCTGACTCTCTTCTCTCTCTCCAGGGGATGAAGGTGTCCTGCACACACTTCCAGTGCTCTGCGGGGGCCTTCTCCTACCTGAGAGACCACTTCAGCCACAACTTCAGCGTGGACATGAGCCACCAGATCCTCAACCTCAACATCAACCTCATGCTGGTGGGTGACACACACATAAATACAAATACACACTAACACAAACACGTAGACACATGTCTCATGACTTGGTCTCTGCTCCCAGGGCCAGGCTCAGGAGTGTCTGCTGGAGAAGTCCATGCTGGACAACAGGAAGAGTTTCCTGGTCGCCCGCATCAGCGCTCAGGTCCACTTCTTATCATTAAATATTGATAATACTTCATTATATAATATGAATGATCAATTAACATGTGAGAGGTTACTAACTGTCTGTGGTTCTGCAGGTGGTGGATTACTATAAGGAGGCCTGCAGAGCTCTGGAGAACTCGGAGACGGCGTCGATGCTGGGAAAGATCCAGAAGGACTGGAAGAAACTGGTTCAGATGAAGATCTACTACTTTGCTTCTATTGCACATGTGAGTGTATTGAGAGGGGGGGGGGGTGGTGTGTGTGTGTGTGTTACATGTGTGTGTGTTACATGTGTGTGTGTGTGTGTTACATGTGTGTGTGTGTGTTATACGTGTGTGTGTGTGATATACATGTGTGTGTGTATGTGTTATACATGTGTGTGTGTGTGTGTGTTATACATGTGTGTGATATACATGTGTGTGTGATATACATATATACATGTGTGTGTGTGTGATATACATATATACATATGTGTGATATACATATGTGTGATATACATATGTTTGCATTTGATTATTTTAATCACAGTTTTTCTTTCCTCTCTTAACAGCTTCATATGGGAAAACAGGCTGAGGAGCAGCAGAAGTACGGAGAGCGGGTAGGACCACATTTCACAATTAGGATTAGGTCTATTTATTTATTTATTTTTGACTGTTTGCTGCATCATTTCAGACAGAAATGATAGGAGTTTGTGAAGGTTACATGCAAATGAAACTATCTCATTGGCACATACACTGCATGTCTGTTCTGAGTTTCTATGTTTATGACACCAGGAAGACTTCACACACCCATGTGGTTTATTTCGGGATTCTTAGATAAACAATTCCTTTCAATCCAAATCATTTTTCCAGCAGTAATAAAGTAAAACATTTTCACACAAAGACTGTTTTGAAACTACGTCCAGACTTTGATGTCTTCATGCAGCTCTCGCCCTTAGTCTGTGTCACTCTGAAAGTATTGCTTTACTTCTTGGAAAAGTTGCAGAAACTCATTATTATAATAAGCTGTTATTTTGGGTCATAAAAATAAAAAAAGCTTGTCTGTTGCTATCATAGTATGCTGCGTTTCCATCCTTCTCTATCTTCAGTTTCCACTTCCCTGCATTTCCTGCTTTTCAATTAAATGTCATGTTTCCAACAGTTGGCGTACCTGCAGAGCTCCATTGACAAACTATCTGAAGCCATCAAGCTGGCCAAGGTGGTAATATAATTTACTTACTAAGCAAACATAATTTAATATTTTAGGGTCATTGTTACATGTCTCTAGTTATTAAAACCGTTGGACACACACAGACCAACTTTTTTCCGTCTTGTCTTGGTACAACAGGGTCAGCCTGACAGTGTGCAGGATGCCTTGAGATTCACCATGGACGTTATCGGGGGAAAGTGAGTAATTCATCTGTCACAATTTTGTTATTATAACATAGTTTAACTCAGGGTGTCCGCGGGGTCTTAAAAAGTATTAAAAGTTGATAAATCAATTTAGCAAAATGTAAGGCTATTAAAAAGTATTAAACGGCATTTTCCAAGGTATAGAGAGGCGAAGTCCCGCCCATCTACTTCCGACCCATGGGACCTTATTTCGGAAAAATGATGTATTGAAGTCAATGGGGAGAAAAAGATTATCTTTCGATCCCGTTTGAATTGTGCCATGAATTACACATATGATGTTTGTCAATCTTAAATAATAATTTCCATGTCAAAAAAGTCACAGTTTGTCGTAAAACTGTTGAAATATAAGACTATGAAAAATACTGCAACTAGAAAGACTACAAATCCCAGAGTCCCGGTCCCGCATGCTGGCTCTTACGAACCGACTAACTCCCCTTGTGTGTATGTACAGCTCTCAACATGCCCAGACTTGGAGTGATTTTCACCTCTTTTAATACTTTCCGCCTCATTCTGAAAGAAAGAAGTGAAATGTGCCAACGTGACGGCCGTCTTGGTGCGAGACGGGAGATGTAGTTCATTGAGCGGTTTCACACAAATAAAAGTGTTACTTCACAGTTTTACGACACATTTTTATTTGTTTGACCTAAAATTATCTTTTAAATTGACAAACATCATATGTGTAATTCGTGGCACAATTCAAACGGGATCGAAAGATAATCTTTCTCTCTCCATTGACTTCAATACATCATTTTTCCTAAATAAGGTCCCATGGAGCTCCCCCGGAAAGGGAGGGACTTCGCCTCTCTATAACATTTAGTAGCTTGTTTTCAGTAAGTATATAAATTGTCCAAAGAGGTTGTATTCTACAGTCTGCCTGAATGTAATCATTGCGTAGGTGTGCAGTGTGATTCTGTGTAGTTTATTTATGGCATCCCGTTGGATTTGACGTCATCTGAACAGGACATCGCACGCTCACTGCTTGATAGCGCGCGAAGGTCCGTTTACGCCGGTTGTTAAACAACATGGTTATGGGGAAATGCAAGTTTGCGTCCAAATGGTTGGAAGATAACGAGGAAGGACAATCAATACTGTATATAGTCAATGTGAGGTAAAGTGTGTCGCCAAGGTAACCGGTTAGAACTCAAAGTGGCGATGAGGTCTTAAAATGTATGGAAAGGGTCTTGAAAAAGGTCTTAAGAGGTTTTACATTTGACTTCAGGATTCCTGCACATACCCTGTAACTTGTGTCTTACATTTGATAAAAACTGTAGATATATATGTTAACATGCTTTCGTTTCACCTGCAGGTTTAATTCAGCCAAAAAGGACAATGACTTCATCTACCATGAGACGGTTCCCTCTCTGGAGACGCTGGCCTCGGTCAAAGGTAACAGGAAGCAGCTGCAGTGTGTTCACATGCACTGCCCTCATCACCGTGTGCATGCAAAGCGGCATTTGCATATAGATGTTGTTGAATGTATGTATGCAGACTGATAAGAACAGCCTGGTGTGTGTGTGTGTGTGTGTGGGTGGGTTTGCCAGTGACTCAGCAGGTTTCACTTATTCACAACCTGGAGTTGATACATGCATTATGTTATATAATGTTATATATTATAGAGTGATTTTACAACAACCCTGCTTATAGTCTATTACTGCAGTCACCTCCAAGTATATTAGAAGCGTCAACATTGTGTAACTTAAGGTATTTGCTATCTTCTGGGTTAAATAGTGTGAAAACATCTGTATAGAATCAGATTGTTCTATACTAGAACCGTGCAAGACTTTTTTGCAAATGTACAACCAACATCTATCGGTTAATCTGCCAATCATTTAGCGATTTTATTAGGTTATCCATTTGTGAAAGCCCATGATCAAATTACTTGTTTTGTCAGACTGACCATCAACATATCAGAGCTATTATTTAAAGGGGACCTATCATGCAAAATGCACTTTCTGATGTCTTTTATACATAAACATGTGTCCCCGGTGTGTCGGGGAACTCACGCAGCATCAGAAAATAAAACCCTCTCTCTTTTCCTCCGTACCCAAATCTCTAAAAACGGGGCTACAACGGAGCTGATCCAGATTTACATCCGATATGACGTAATATCTGAAATGTGGACCCACGGCACTATCAGAAACGTTGCTATCAGAAACAATGCCCGACTGTTTTGGACGTAATATGGTCGGTGTTTACATTAGCATCGCTAACACTCAGAGCTAACCTGTACTGGAGAGCATGTGTGTGAAGAAGCAGGAAATAAAAAGGAACTCACCTTGTGGTATAACCGGCAAGAGAGAAAGCCTTTGAGCTCCATACTGTTTCAGAAATACTCCTTGATAATCCATGATATGGCGTTTCATCACGGCAGTATTTAGTTTAGACAGTAGCTGCCGGGTCCCGCATGAGCTCAGACCCCTCCTTTTTTTTTAAAGCTTTATACCCCAAATCAGCACTTTTGAAACAGGAAGTGAAATAGAGGGATATGAGGCATGGCTAGAATGGGTGATCTGTTTGGTATTTTGAGCAAAACACTTCATAGACATGTTTTTTATATATTTTTATATATCTGAGACCTATGCTATTGCCTAAAAATAGCATGATAGGTGACCTTTAAGAAAACTAATTTGACTAGATGGAAATAATGGATTTTTATTGCCACACATTTTTATTTTCCTAATATTTCTGATACTGACATGCTGTTAATTTTGATATATCCTCTTCTTGTGATGTAGCTTTATGAAATGGATTTCATTTGTTCCTTCCAGGTGCCCCGCTGGTGAAAGCTCTCCCAGTAAACCCCACAGACCCCAGTGTGACCGGACCGGACCTGTTCGCCAAGCTGGTGCCAATGGCTGCTCATGAAGCCTCTTCATTATACAGGTAGGAGCACAGTGGAGGCTGAAGAGTGTGTTCAGTCTGCCTTTCATTCAGAAAGACAATTCACTTATGCTTCTGTTCATCCAGTGAGGAGAAGGCCAAGCTGCTGAGGGACGTCATGATCAAGATAGACAGCAAAAATGAAACACTGGAGTGAGTACACGTGTGCGTGTGTGCGCGTATGCGTGCGTGCGTCTGTCTGTCTGTCTCATTTGAAATTGTCGTGTATTATTTGAAATTGCTATAAGGCTGGAACTTGTTTATTTTTTTCAACGCTTCAATTGATCCATCTCTTGGTGTAATGAGAATCTTCAGAAAGAAAAACAGTTCTCCCTGTCTTAATACCACATCATTAGATATAATATAACAGGGTAATGTATTCCCACCATCCTTGAATAAGACTATCAATAAACAACAGGATCATTGGACATCTTGTTACAAAATTACCCTATTTAAAAGGTTTTTGGTACCTTTTACGGCCCTTCTATATCTACTGAAATGAATGCAGAAAAGTTATTAACTGAAAGGGTTTATTTTTAGTTCACCCTGTGTCTTTGGAAGCTGAGCGTGTCCTCTCCTCCTGCAGGCAGTTCATGGACTCTCTGGGTTTGGAGCCCGAGTCGGTGGATAACCTGGACATGTACAGCCACATCCCCCCCGTCCTGATGGAGAAGTGTGCTGCTCTCAGCGTGAGACCCGACACCGTCAAGAGCCTGATCCAGTCCATGCAGGGTCAGTGGGAACACACATACACAACTATAACTCCTAAGGCTTAGCAATGTCAAACAACTCAAATCTCAAATGTTTCACAAAACGTGTTATTTATGGTTTAAATGTTTAATATTTAAGGGTATAAATTCACAGAATATGTAATGGAGCTTTAGAAGAATAAGCCCTATGTAAAGCATAGTCTACTGTTTCATTGTAAATTATCGCCTTATGTACTAATGACATTTGGTGGTTGACCAACATATATTATGACCAATAACTAACGGCCCGTCCACACAGCGGCGTGCGTTGAAGCTTGCCGGCGGACGTGTCTGAAACTCGACCAACAACCAATCACATGAATCTCCCGCCCCTGACACACAAGCAGCGGTTTGATTGGCTAGAGCTTGTACTGGCATATGATTCGATTGGCTGACGCTTCTGCCGAGGCTTCAAAAGTTGAACATTGCTCAACTTTTGCAGCGAGCCACGCCAGCAAAGCTCCGCTTCGCTTCCCACAATGCAGTTCGGCGAAAAGTGACGTCACCCCATTCAAAGTGAATGGTGAAGCTTTCAACGCACGCCGCTGTGTGGACGGGCCGTAACTCTTCTCAGGATTCAAGATTCAAGGCTTTATTGCAGTGTTAATTTCGTCAACGAAAACTATGACGAAAAATGTTCGTCAACAACCTTTTTTACATGACTAAGACGAGACGATGACGAGCTAAAAATAGATTCTTGATAATAATGACAAAATGTATATTTAGTTTTTTTATGAAGTTTTCTCTTCACTCCAGAAGAGCGATCTCCCTGGGTGTTTCTCAATCGCGAGTACGCTTGCTTTGTAGCACATGTCTGCCGAGCATCTTGCTTCAGAAGCGAGTCAAGAACACTTCCTGGCATTCGGAAAACAAAGAGTGGAACAGGCTAGCAAGTGTGCAGGTGTGCGTCATATGAGAGGCCCCGCCTTACATCTTCCGCCACAGATTTGGGGAAATTGGTCCGTGCGCAAAGCATTGTGGGGATTTTAAGACCGCGGAGTCTACTCATGTGCAGCCTCGATATTTCTCCAAACGGAGTACGCCGGGCTCGGTAGATTTCCAAGTATGCTGGAGATTGGAACAGTACTTCGGCGGCACTCGATGATGTAGTATGCTTGAAATAGTGGCTCTGAAGCAGCTTTACTCGACATTGAGAAACACCCCCTGTGTCTCTCTGTGTAGGGGGGCGGGGCCTAACTCTCTCTCTCTCTCTCTGTGTGTGCGGCGTGCACACAGATTTTTAAGAGTAGTAGTACCGTTAAAAACCTTAATGATACCCATCCCTAGATATTACACAAGTGTTAAGAGAGTGAAATGTTGCTTTACGAATTTCAACACTTGATGCTGTCACATTGATTCCAATTTCAGATACCTGTATTTGCCAAACTGAATTAGTTTAAAGAGACAAATTTGTTTAAAATGTAATGAGTTTTCATCGACTAAAACTATGAAGGATAAAAAGGACTAAAATGTGACTAAAACTAATAACCATTTTCATCTAAAGACTAAATCAAAAATATCTGCCAAAATGAACACTGCATTATTGTCATGTGCACATTAGCTACAGTGTAGATATGGCAATGAACAACTCGCAGGCACAGTCACAGGCTCCTCCAACAGAGCAACATGAATATATAACCTGTTTCTTGCCAAACTGTGAAATAACTTACACACACACACACACACACACACACACACAGGAGCTGTGGTTATATTGAATTCTGTTGCAGTTAAGGATGATTTACCATCTAATCTACCGCTTAAAAGAGCGATAACACTTAATATAAAATCATATGTGACTCGTTATTCAAGAAGGAGGAAGTCTAGTCAATTCTGCACAACATTAAAACAGTAAAGTTGATCGAGATGCTTTAACCTGTGACATCTGACTTATTTTGGCTTTTTAAAGGGAGAGGAAACAAGTTTTAAAGACAACACTAACCCCCCACTCACTTTATAAGTTGATATGACGACACTCTAAGTGCAAAACGTTTTATTTGTTTCTGTTTTTATTTTTTCTATCCACCAATTCTGATATAAGAGCATGTTTCTAAAACATTTAGGGGCATTGCTTCGACCTGGAACATATCCTTAGACAAACACGCTTGAGATGTTTAAGTGTTAAACACCCGTCACATTCCTTGCCTCTGCAGGGCTCTCAGGCGTCTTCACTGATGTGGAGTCCTCCCTGAAGGAGATCAGAGACGTGCTGGAGGAGGACGAGGCGGGTCAGCGGGCCCTTCAGGAGGCCGGGGGCCCCGCTGCAGGCGAGCTGCACTCCCCAGCGCAGGCCCAGGCTCTGGGGGACATCCGCAGGGACCTGGAGAAATACATGGAGGCTCACGAGAAGGCCAGCTTCACCAACACGGAGCTCCACAGAGCCATGAACCTGCACATCAGCAACCTGCGCCTGCTGGGGGGGCCCCTGGAGAGCCTGAAGGAGGCCCTGCCCCGGCCCCAGCTCAGCGAAGGTGAGGGGGGGTCTGATGCTGAGGGTTCATAGACATCTGATTTTGCAGAATGTTGTTTTTTAGCAACCAAAAACTAAACGTACTAAACTAAAACTCAAATTATACATCATTTATTGTAATGTAAAAATGCAAACAATTATTTCTAGGCTCAAGGTTTACTAAATAGTTACCCTTTTGTTTTTATTTGTTGTCCACTAATGCATTGTTTTGTGTGTGTGTGTGTGTGTGTGTGTGTGCGTGTGCGTGTGCAGAGGAAGTGGCGGGGCTGCAGTGCATGAAGCGGATCCTGGGGAAGGTGCATGAGATGAGGGAGCAGAGAGGCTCTCTGGAGAAGCAGCTCCGAGACCTCATCCAGCAGGACGACATCACCTCCACCCTCGTCACCACGGAGAGGGCCGACATAAGGGTACGCAGCTGCACGTGGTCCCTGAAGCTTACACAACACGTGCTGAATGGTTTAGTTTAACTCTTTTACTTATTTAAGTTACAAACTGATTCAAGGCATGCTTACATTGCATTATTCAGTGGGTTTTAAGTGGGTACGTTTTTGGCTGAAGTACAGTACAGAATTGCTTTTATAACATATGTAGGGCTGGACTGAATTTATTAAAAAAGAAATTACATCCAAAGCTTTTACTCAGGTTTCAAATTAAGTTACGCATTTTATTTAATATTGTGACGTCGAAACCATAAAAAGGAAAAGTACTGATCGTAAAAATTCCTATGCAGCCACCATTGGAATCTAATTCTACAAATAGTATAATAGATCCTTATCCTTATTAGAAACATGGCAGAAATACCTGCTTTAACACAAGAACCGCCAACGGGTCAATTTTACCCGCAGCTGTTTTTTGATTGTATGCAACCTTTTTTCAATAAAATATTCAAGTCTCCCAGTCCGTGACTTTTCCTGAAAGTCTGTTATGTAGCACCCTCTGTTGTTAAAAATGGTCAATATGAAGTCAGATTGAAAAAATTCGCCAAAAAAGATTCGCCATTTACCTCATAGAAAATGCAGTGTAAACATGACGTGTTGCTATAGCAACGCCTTTTGTCTATTGCGGATAGATAGATTGAGAGAGATAGATAGAGAGAGAGGGTGTTTCTCAATCGCGAGTACGCTTGCTTGGTAGCACATGTCTGCCGAGCATCTTGCTTCAGCAGCGAGGCAAGAATACTTCCTGGCATTCGGAAAACAAAGAGTGGAACAGGCTAGCAAGTGTGCAGGTGTGCGTCATATGAGAGGCCCCGCCTTACATCTTCCGCCACAGATTTGGGGAAATTGGTCTGTGCGCAAAGCATTGTGGGGATTTTAAGACCGCAGAGTCTACTCATGTGCAGCCTCGATATTTCTCCAAACGGAGTACGCCGGGCTCGGTAGATTTCCAAGTATGCTGGAGATTGGAACAGTACTTCGGCGGCACTCGATGACGTAGTATGCTTGAAATAGTGGCTCTGAAGCAGCTTTACTCGCGATTGAGAAACACCCAGAAATAGAGATAGAGATAGAGAGAGAGAGATAGATAGATAGAGAG